GACCTTCTGAAATGCCCAGAATGCACTGAAAAACAGTAAATAATTAACGATTTCAGACATTTTGAGAGAAATAGAGAGAGCAGAAGCAGAGAGAGCAGTATGTGTTGCGATGACCTGTCTTTTTTTTTTTTTTGTGGTGTTTGGATGTGTTCCAGCTCATTTCTGTGCAGAAATTATTGCAGCAGTGTCTAACATATTTTCTTTCATGCGAAACTTCAAAGTACGGTGTACCGGGTCCATTTGAGTACCGGGAAAACACTTTGCATGCATTTTTCATGATGAAAAAAGGCTCTGGACAGCATCTGGAAATGGAGGAGTTAAAAAAAAAAATTTCAAACGCAAACGCTTCAAAACGTGGTTAGCCGCGTTTAAAAGCGTTTACAATGCTGATAAAATCTACTCCTGAACGCATGTTTTCTGCGTTAAAAAAAAAAACGACTGTAAACTCAACTGCCTGTAAACGACGATGTGTACATGGACACATAGGAAAACATTAGGGAGAGTTCAGGGGCTGCTGAAAAAAAAACGCAGAAAAGCTCCTAAACGTGAGTTTATCAGCTGCAGTGTACATGAGTCCTAAAGATCGGGGAATCTTGATAATACTGGAAGAAAGCAAACAAGGGGCACACTCTCCTTGTGCATTACCGTGATAACGAATAAAGGAATTTATTTAAAAATGACAAAAGTATATACTCACAAGATTCGGAAAACAAGCTAGGAACCAATGTGACAGTCCGAGCAAACGGTAGTCTGGCAACAGGGTATGACAATGCGTTTCGGGAGACTCCCTTCTTCAGAGCTAAAACAACTACACAAGATGCAAACCTATATAGAAGTACGTCTCCCGAAACGCATTGGCATACCCTGTTGCCAGACTACCGTTTGCTCGGACTGTCACATTGGTTCCTAGCTTGTTTCATGAATCTTGGTTTGTGAGTTCATACTTTTTGTCATTTTTAAATAAATTCCTTTTTATCACGATAATGCACAAGGAGAGTGCGCCCCTTCTTTGCTTTCTTTAGGATTCTGCACCTACTTTGGCAATATCTACTTTATCATCCTTTTCCTATTAAAGAATCTTAATGGTCTAAGCACTTATTGCTGTGAATTTAATAATGTCTTAAACATTAGATTGCAAGCTCCTATGCCCTGGTCCCACTTTCCTATATGGTGTTACCTTCAGTTTCCCAAAAAAAAAGTGAATAATAGCTGAGATTTAATAAATGACACCTGGCTGTGTATAAAGATCCCGATCCTGTGTTTAAAGCTTTGTGAATGTTTCATAGATATTTTATGGCCACATTGAATTAGAATGTATAAATAATATAATAAAATAATATCATATAAATATAAATTGTGACTTTTTGTCCTGCGCTCCCTTTCTGTGACCATCTACCATAGTACAGGCGTAGTGGCACGGGTCCGCACTGGACATATTGGGAGATAAGCTACTTGTAATAAAATATAATCTGCATTTATGAGGAATTAAAAAATATGATAATGAATTGGTAAGCCGTGTCCTTATCAGTTGGACAACCTCTGTCCCAGCCAGTGCTATTAGGAAGATGCGATGGACAGTGCGGAGGGCTGCGCCTTTCCCAACGAATTATATCCCAGATATGAAGTTGCTAAATTAAATCTCTTTTTTCTCTGCACCCTGCATTGCAGAGTTCTCTGCCGCCTGTGGGTTGGGGGGGGGGGGATTTATTTTTATCCTGCCCCTCCCATGAGTTGCTGCAATTAGGTCTCTGCTGTGCATGTTACAAGGAGTGGCTGCAACTGGCATTTATTGGCACAAATGCAGAGAGATAAACTTCTGGAATAGAAGGGCCAGCAGGGACAACCTTGCAGCAGTTACTGGAAAGGCTTGTCCGCCCTAAACTGAACTTGTTGATTGGGGGGGAACTCTGCTGGTTTGAAGGGCCCCGTTGGCGCTTTTCCTTTCGGCAGATTACCTTTGCAAAGTTTCTAAGGGTCCTTTCACACGGGCGTTCCGTTTTTTTTCATCAGTTCGGTCACGTTTTTTCCAAGCAATAAAAACGGATCAGTTCACATCAATTATTTTTACATCCTTTACCAATCCAGTCCATTTACATCCATTTTTTGCCTGTTTTTTGTTTTTTTTATGGAAGAAAAATAGGGTTTTCTACCATTCAAACTTGTAGCCATATTAGTGCATTTGCGGCAGAAATTGAGTACTGACATGATACTTTTTTTATTTCCACTAACAAACAATTTTGAGGACAAGCTTTCGGGGAGTGTCCCCTTCTTCAGGTCCAAGCAGTACTTTGGGAGACCTCAATATTTTAGTTCTTAAAGGAAATTTCAAATCCATTCAGGAAAGAAAAACTTTTGAACTAAGAATGATAATTCTATTTGACACAAGAAATAACAGCCTGAATTTGGACATGGGATTCCTCACTCGTTATCCAACAGTTTTATCACCTCAAGCATGACTGCCTCTGTGAGTGTTTGTCCCCACCCCCCCCCCCCCAGACTTTGCTTTTGCTGTGTCTTATCTTTGTTCTCCTCTTCTTCTTTTTTTTTTTTTTTTTTTCCATCCCCTACATCTCTTCTAACATTCTGCTATACCTTTGTGATCAGTACTGCTTGGACCTGAAAAAGGGGACACTCCCCGAAAGCTTGTCCTCAAAATTGTTTGTTAGTGCAAATAAAAAAAAAAAGTATCCTGGACAGTACTCAATTGTTTCTACCATTCAAAAAAACGGATGTCAACAGATGCGACATTAACTGCTTTCCCACCTCCCTATAGCAGAAATACTGCTACAGGGCGGCAGGGCTGTGCAAAATCACATGTGTATATAGATACAGGGGCGGACTGACAACGCATGGGGCCCCTGGGCAATAGGGGATCATGGGGCCCCTGTGTCCTTGCCCAAACTTAAAAAAGCCTATGAAAAAGGTACCAGGGGCATCTCATGGGGCCCCCTAATGACCCCGGGCCGTGCCTGAGTTTCCAAATGGTCAGTCCGCCCCTGTATAGACATGATTTTACATTTCCGAGTAGGGGGTCACACGTGCCGCCCTACCCGCGCTGCCATTGGCAGCTTCAGCTGTTGATCACTGGGTCCTGGCCTGTGATTTCCCGCTGGCACCCACGATCACTGAGTATCACTGACAGGGGAGATGTCTGTATCTAAATAATACAGAGCTCTCCCCTGCCAGCTCCTGCACACTGCTTTCTATTGCTCTGCATAGCACAGCAATACAAAGCAATGTGCTGACACAGTGAGACACACAGCACACAGTAAAACACACACAGCACACAATTAACCCTTTGATCACCCCAGATGTTAACCCCTTCCTGCCCAGTGTCATTACTACAGTGTCAGTGCTTTTTATTAGCACTGATCACTGTATTGGTGTCACTGGGGTCGGTGACAGTCAGTTCCCCCCAAGTGTCAGAATGCTTGCCCGCAGTCCCACAATAAGTCGCTGATCGCCGACATTACGAGTAAAAAAAAAATAAAAATTCCAGTATCTATACCGCCATTTGTAAAAGCTATAACTTTCATGTAAACCAATTAATTTACACGTATTGGGATTTTTTTTAGCAAAGACATGGAGCAGAATACATTTTGGCCTAAATTTAGGATGAAATTAGATTTTTTTACTGGACATGTTTAATAGCAAAAAGTAAAAAATATTGATTTTTTTTTTTCTCAAAATTGTCTGCCTTTTTTGTTTACAGTGAAAATTAAAAATGCACAGGCGATCAAATTCCACCAAAAGAAAGCTCTACTTGTGGGAAAAAAGGACGTAAATTTAATTTGGGTGCAACGTTGTTGAACGCGCAATTGTCAGTTAAAGTAATTCAGCGCCATATCGCAAAAAATGGCCTGGTCAGGAAGTGGGGTAAATCCTCTGGAGGGCAAGTGGTTAACGGATTTAAATGGATGATCATCCATTTACATCCACTAGTCCATAGAAATACATGGGTGTCTGTTATTCATCTGTAAATGGACAGATGAAAAACGGACATACGGACCGCACCTGTGAAAGAGCGAAGGCCAAATCTGTGTGTTTCATCAGTTCAGTCATGTTTTTTCCAAGAAAAAACAGATTAGTTCACGTCCGTTTTTCAGCAGTTTACATCCGTTTTTCATCCATTTACATCTGTTTACATCCCTTTTTCGTCCGTTTCGTTTTTTGTTTTTTTTTACAGAAGAAAAATAGGGTTTTCTTCCATACAAAAAAAAACGGATGTCAACGAATGCGGACATTAACCTCCCTGGCGGTATGATTATTTCAGATTTTTGGTGCTGAAAGCGGTACCATTATTTTGCATGGAAATATGTATTTTTTTTATTGTAGGCTGTAATTTTTAGGAAAAACTCACTGAAATCTGTCCGAACAAGAGTCTAGTAAACATCCCGGGTATGATAAAATTTGAAACACAAAATCATAAATTATAATTTAATAAATAATCATAAAAATAATATAAAAATAATAAAAAATTTAATTCAATAATATAATCAAACCAAAAACACTGAAATGTGAAATATAGCGCCAAGTTCGCACATTGCTGAGCTCAGTCGCAAAATCGTTTTCAGTTTCTGATGACGAATTTCCCCCACGAATCATTATCATTCAATTCTGCAAGTGGTTCTGATTTACTATCGCTGTTCTCTAACTGATCTAAACCGCTTTTGACCTAAAGGGACACTTTTTGGACGCCATGGACATTTCTCAGTTTCCAGGCAGAAAGAACAGACAAAATGCAGGCAGGGCACAGGACAAAGCACTAGGGACAATATGTATGTGAAATAGGTTGAAACAGCAATGTTTTACTGTGTAAAATGTAAAAAAAAAAAAAAAAATGACATTTTTTAAAATTTTTAAATTTCCCGCCGCCGGCGGCGGCGGCGCCCGTACGTCCCGACGTCACAGGGACAGGACACAGAAGCCGGATGCCGGCATCGGCCGGAGGAGATGGCCGGGGACGCTGCAGGGGACACATCGTGGGAGCGCAGGGTAAGGTAAGTGAAGAACACATGCCGGAGCAGCGCCGCATGGTATTCCCGAGTGTAGCTCGGGGTTACCGCTTTTGGTACTGAAATGTTACCCCGAGCTACACTCGGGAATACCGCCAGGGAGGTTAATGGATGTAAACAGATGATCATCCGTTTACATCTGCTAGTCCATAGAAATACATGGGTGTCCGTTTTTCATCCGTAAACGGACAGATGAAAAAACGGACATACGAACGCCCGTGTGAAAGGGGCCTAACTCTTTCCAGACTTGAGCAGTGAGAGCCTTCACATTAATGGCAGCAGCAGGTGAACAAAATTAGGAACTCCGGAGCCAACCAAGGTCATCTGTGTATATCCAGGACCAAACTGACTTCTGTGAGCTGCGTGATCGCAACCAAAAGTAGACCCACCCAATAGCACAGTTGGTAAGCTGAAACCTGCAGTTGCTGGAGACTGTCACCATACAGGGGCGGACTGACCATTCAAGCACTCAGGCACTGCCCGAGGGCCCGGGGTCAGTAGGGGCCCCATGAAATGCCCCTGGTACCTTTTTATAGGCTTTTTTTGAGTGTGGGCGAGGACATAGGGGCCGCATGAACCCCTATTGCCCAGGGGCCCCATGAGTTGTCAGTCCGCCCCTGTCACCATAGTACAAGGACCCCTGTAAAGCACAAATAAAGAAACTGATAGTCAACATCAAATCTATTTTACGTAAATTGAATATACAGTTGTGTTCAAAATAATAGCAGTCAGACATCACTAACCGGATCAATCACTGTTTTTGGTAGAAATGATATTTCTACATGGCAAATAAATTTACTAGCAGGTGTAGTACAGTAATAGAAATCCAACAGACCCAACAGTCATGACATGCATGCTGCTGATTCTGTGTAATTGAATCACTAATTGAAAGGGGCATGTTCAAAATAATAGCAGTGTGGAGTTCTATTAGTGGGGACATTCATTTTTTGAAAAACAGATGGCAATTATTGCCCTTATTTAAGGAAGGAAGGCAGCAAATGTTGTACATGCTGGTTACAGTGCATTTCTCTCTGAAATTCTGAGGGAAAATGGGTCGTTCCAGACATTGTTCAGAAGAACAGCGTACCTTGATTAAAAAGTTGATTGGAGAGGGGAAAACATATAAAGAAGTACAGAAAATGATAGGCTGCTCAGCTAAAATGATCGCAAATGCTTTAAAATTGCAACCAAAACCTGAAAGACGTGGAAGAAAGCGAAAAAACTACCAATCGAATGGATAGAAGAATAGCCAAAATGGCGCGGACTCAGCCAACAATCAGCTCCAGGAAGATGAAAGAAGGTGTAAAGTTCCCTGTGAGTACTGTTACAATTAGAAGACGCCTATGTGAAGCCAAGCTATCTGCAAGAAGTCCCCGCAAAGTCCCACTGTTGGAAAAAAGACGTGTGCTGAAGAGGTTACAATTTGCCAAAGAGCACATTGACTGGCCTAAAGAGAAATGGCGCAACATTTTGTGGACTGATGAAAGTAAGATTGTTCTTTTTGGGTCTAGTGGGCGGAGACAGTTTGTCAGACGACCCCCAAACACTGAATTCAAGCCACAGTACACTGTGAAGACAGTGAAGCATGGTGGTGCAAGCATCATGATATGGGGATGTTTCTCATACTACGGTGTTGGGCCTATTTATTGCATACCAGGGATCATGGATCAGTTTGAATACATCAGAATACTTGAAGAGGTCATGCTGCCTTATGCTGAAGAGGAAATGCCCTTGAAATGGGTGTTCCAACAAGACAACAACCCCAAACACACCAGTAAACGTGCAACATCTTGGTTCCAGACCAACAAGATTGACGTTATGGAGTGGCCAGCCCAATCCCCGGATCTTAATCCAATAGAAAACTTGTGGGGTGACATCAAAAATGCAGTTTCTGATGCAAAACCAAGAAATAGAGAAGAACTGTGGAATGTCGTCCAATCATCCTGGGCTGGAATACCTGATCACAGGGGCCAGAAGTTGGGTGACTCCATGCAACACAGATGTACAGCAGTTCTCAGAAACAGTGCGACTACAACCAAATATTCATTAAGTGATTCAAAGGAAAGCAAAATCTTCAAACATTTTTCAGTTTATATAGTGAATGTTTGAGTTTGTAAAGAAGAATACAAACACTGCTATTTTTTTGAACCGTCTAATATTCACTTTTCTTCAATTGTTTTAGAGGAACAACACAAATTTGATCTATTTTTCTTCATGTTTTGATTTGGAATAGAATGTGTCGTGTTCCCAATGCATTTGTGTGTATGGAAATAAAAGCTATTAGAAGGATTTTGAGCTTTATTCACTTTTTTCAACACACTGCTATTATTTTGAACACAACTGTATATAGCGGTTATTTTCTTTCTCTGTTGATTATGGCCAGGAGAAAAAAAAAAAAAATTGTCAGATATATGAGAAATATTGCGTATTAGTGGCTGTAAACCTCAGGCATGAAATATGAGCAAAGCATATCCTTCTATAGTGTGTACTTGTTTCAGTCCAGAGCATTATATGTTATTTAAGTGTTCTTGCAAGAACACTTATTGTTATCTCACAAATATATATATATATATCAAAACGTGCAGATTGTTCCCGATCGGATTGCTATTACTTTGTGGAACGTTTCGCCAAATCGTTCACGAAATATCGCGGTTTTTGTGGCGAAATTTTCCCATAGGAATGAATGGCGCAACTAGAGTGAGAAATGACAGAGCTAGAGTGTGGAAGGAAAAATCAGAACATGATTTGTAAACTGCCATCACTCCCTCATTTTCAAACCCACCTACACATGTCTTATATCAAAAGACGTTCAGCTATCCCTGCTGTCACTAAAAATGTCCACGGCTAAGCCATACTCCTGATAGTTTTCACAATATGACCATTTGTTTGCAACTCACCCCTCCCATTGACTTTCATTGAAACTTCACTCACAACCACCTGAAATTTTAAGGGACATTTTTAAACTGCGACTGTGCCTTCATTTTTTAATATTTCAGGGAAATACTATACATCAAAATTTAGCTCTGTTTCTTGTGATTGTCACAATATCAAGCTCTTCACAGTAGCATTTATACTTTTAAAACTACAACCGTTTGAAGATGGCAATCACCAGTGAAGTTGGCAAGTTGGAGCAGTGTGTTTATAAAAGCCCTTCTCACCTTTCTGTGACTGACAGAGTGAGTTGCTATAGCAACCAACGATGACTCACAGGCAGCTGAGTCACCCAGGCTGGACTGTGAGCTGCAAAATAACAGCTGCAATGCATTTCTCACTATCAGGCTTGCCATGTGCACTGCTTACATTTCATCAATCACTTGGTTAGGGTTGGATGCAAGAACACTTCACACAATTTCCCCAGAAATTGTAGATTTTCTAGTTTCTGTCTGCTGCCTCGTTTTTCTCTGCTGTCTGCATGAGTCACTTCTGACAAGTTTTCCTGACACCAAGAGATAAAAAGAGGAGGGAGCTCCAGCAAGCAGCCTGTGATTCCTGTGTGCTATGTGAAGGAAGGGGGGTTGGGGGAAGTCTGTTCCCTGCAATCAGCTTTCACTGAGCTCTGCAGATTGTAACTTCAGCTCCTTGTCCCCTGTTTTTTTTTTGGAGCTAAGAGATCCAGTATAAATCCTGGACTTTGAATGGATGTACAGGACAGAAGGCTGCATATAAACAGGTACAATTTATGTAGGTGGATTTATTTAATCTCTGTGTCACCTGAGGCCAGTCACTTCACTGGGTATATATAAGGGTTTACAACCACTTTAATGCCCTGCCAGTAGATGGAGCTCTGGCATTCCAGTTACTATCTAGACCTATCCCCTTTAGCTGTGCTAATAGAAGTTCCGTGTTTATAGAACTCAAATGAGAGATCACAGCAGTGACTCCTCTCTCTTATGTCTAAGGGCTGATTCACACTATAGAAACGCAGTCCAGATGCATTCCACATGCGTTTCCGCATGTGTGTTTTTGACATGTTCCGGTGCGTTTTTTTTATACGTTTGTTTACACGTTCCAGTGCATTTTTTTATGCATTCCAGTTCATTTTCCCCTTCCCTTTTTCTTCAATTAAAACAGGGACATGTGGGTTCCAGTGCATTTGTGGTGCATTCCAGTGCATTCTGGTGTGTTTTTGATGCGTTTTACCACGTTTCGGTACAGTTTTGTGCAGGAAAAATGCAGCCTGTTTTTTTTTTTTTTTTTTCTGCAACCGGAACGCAATGGAACTGTAAGCATTGATGTAAACTATGACACTGACAACCATACCACCTACTTTCTGTGCATTTTGGATGCAGAAAAAAGCAACTGAAACGCATGGAGTGTGAGCTGGGCGTAAAGCTCCTTATACTGTACAATTTCCGTACAATCTCCTTTAGATTTTCAAAAGCTAAATAATACAAAGACAGACCTAATCTATCCAATCAGGCAGGCTTTGTACTACATAGTTGATGGTATATCTAAAGGAGATTGTGCAGCCCGATTGTATAGTGTATGGCCAGTCTTAGGTGCCAGTCGAACAAGGAAAGCCTAACAGCAAGATGCTCTGTGGAGCATTTTCTTTAGCTAACCTATAGTACTCTGGGAGTCCTACATCATGTATGGAAATAGATTTGTGAAACAAAAAATGTGTGTATGTATGTGTGTATATGTATGTGTGTATATGTATCTGTGTATATGTGTATTTGTATGTGTGTATATGTATGTATGTGTGTATATGTATGTGTGTATGTATATATATATATATATATATGTGTGTGGATACCAGGTTTTGACCATGCAGTCTGTATTTGCTTGGCCACGGTAGCACATTCATTTGAATAGGCTACTGTGCCATGTTTCCTGCAGGAGAAATGTACATGTGACTTTCTAAAAACACGGCTACAGGGAAACTGCGTGGTCTTTTTTGACCACCTTCATTAAACAGAGAAGCACTGCCGCTAGATGTGAATCACCTCTCAGGGACGGCTCACTTAAGCACCCCACAATGTCTCCAGCTCTCTCCCAGACCAATAAGCTCCACAAAAATCATTGCAATGTCACGTGCCTAACGTGGGGCTCGAACCCACGACCCTGAGATTGAGTCTCATGCTCTACCGACTGAGCTAGTCAGGCCACA